CAGGAAAAATTTGGATTCAGCAGCTGCCATTCTGCCAACAGATAGTGACACCCTACAGCAACCTGGAGACTCAGAATTGTAGTGGTATGTAAAATGATGTGGCAAGCTGTAGATTAATTACATGTCAAATTAACATAGGCATGTTGGTAAAATGCTTCTACATCAACTCCTTGTTGCCAGCACTGCTTATACTGTTCATGAAACAGGAATTTTTCCCTTTCACCAACAACTGCAATTCCACTAGCAGTCTTTGCAAAGCCTTCATAGCATAGGATGGCTACAAGACTCACACATGGCCATAAAAAATTTTACTGAGGCATTCAGAAGTCTTTGCATGCACCATTAAGTCATGCTTCCAGATCTGTGAAGGTTAAGACAGACACTTCTGAGGTGAACTCCTGATTAAGAGAATAACTGGGGAAAAGAAATTCAACTCTCTTGCTTTACAGCCTACTGTACAGTTTGCTGTACTTCTAATTGCTTGCCAAGGTACAGTTCTCAGTTCAGAGCTCTTTGTGCAAGTGTATTAAGTGCTTCCTTCTCTATCTGGTAAACAGTCAGATATAAAATAAATATTGACTCTGTTCATGCTTCAGTTGGATTAAACTATTGTTTATTGGGAAGAGAAAAAAAAGGTACTATTGTACTAGACAGACCTCCCCACATCAATTTTGGATGTCTGTAAAAGTTTGAATAAAGCTTTTTTAAGTCAGACTTAAAATACTACTGGTATTGGTTTTTAATAACAAATGAAAAAGAATGGCGTTGCAAGTCAAAAGTGCCACTAGAAACATGCTGATTTGGGTTAAAACATTTTACTGCTTCTTTGCACAATCAAAAGCATGAACTCAGCACCTTCTGAACTGCTACCCAGATGGAAAAATATATGAAACAGACTAAGGGAAACTGAAACTAACTAATCTGTGGTTTACTTCAAGAAGAGGTAAATGCATAAATAGAATTCAAGACTACTGTTAAGCAGATTTCTTCAAACTTTTCACATCATATGATGCTATTAAGAAGTTTTCCCATGAAATTGAGTTATGTAAAATATTCTTTAACAGTCTCTCAGCCTTTAATGTTTCAGAACAGATTTTATGACAATCACTTTGACAGACAGTATAGCTACATGTTATGCTTACCCATGCTCCATGAAATTAATTGTGCATTCTTCCTCCTGATTTTGTACTTTACAGAGCAAATTAATACATAATAAAAATATTTGTGATGCAGTTGATAGCTACTGGGAGTAAGAGTCAAATGTGACAGGTCCATGAAAACTCACAGTAGTTTATGATCAGCTAAAGTAATGGGAGCTCAGATGCCTTTCTGTCTAGAAATAGGAAAGTTGTATTTGCACCCTAGTTCTTGCAGATGAGCTAGTAATAAAGAAACATAGAAATACGTAACTGCAGAAACACAAGACCAAATCCAAGAAGTGATTGTCATACTTAAGTCGTTACTTTCCAAAGCTGCCAACAGCCAGGTCCTCATGTTATCCCTACCTGGCAAACAATTTAAGCAACATTTAAGACTGGTGAACACCAACATTACTTCTTTCAGACTACATATATTGTCTTTGAAGACTTCTGTAAAAAACATTTCAGGGCAAAATGTAACATACTGTTATTAGCTGTTATAGCAAACAAATTTGCAAAACCACTGCAGTAAGTCTACATGTGCTCCTACCTGATGGCACAGCCATCTAGATGTCTCTTTCACAGCAAACTCATGTTCATTTCTACTACCCACTTAGTCTAGATACAAACAAAAATAATGAAGATATCCAAAATCAACAAACATTACTGCATTTTCAAGCACACAGATAGTACGGAAGAAGTGGGATAAATTGCAACCCGCGCAGAAAAGTCTTTAACAGTGTTAAATGTTCCCACTACCTTCTTTTTTATAACTTCTTAACATCGTAGTGCCCATTTTCTCTGCCTCCAGCTTAGAAGTAACTCTTCTTACTGAATCCAAATGTCTCTCTCTTCCCAGACATCTAGATCTCCAAGAGACTTCGGCACAGAGGGCCCCACTAGTAAGTATCCAACACTACAGCAGTCTGAGGTCTGTGCTGCTCACAAAATTCTGGCCCTCTCCATCTATGTATTGTCTTGCACATACTTTTCTTTGAGAACTTCAGTCCTCAGTTTTATTTTCATACCCCACTGAGACAGAAAAGTTGAATAAAATTATGTTAAGTGGGTTGGAAGTATGTTCCATTCTAACTCCAATTCACCTATTTCAGAAATGCTTCTGACCTGAGACCAGTTCCACTAAAAAGAAAAATTACCAATGTCTCCAGTAACAGAGGAGGATTTGTAGTAGACACAGTCTCTACATCGCCATGAAAGAAAATAAGAAGTGATAAAGTCATAGACAAAGACAACCAAGAAAAGGTAAATCTTATGTGACTGAAACCAGGAGAGGTGCAAACCAGCAACTGCAATCTCCACTACCAAAACCTGACTCTTGGAAGTTACAATCTGGGGGAAGAAAGGAGGGTAGCACATGTGTATGGACAGATGCATGGAGAGACAGCAAAGAAAATATGAATATATAGAGGTTTTATGCTCTGCAGAAAAGAACCATCATTCATCAGACACTAAGCCCAGGCACATTACGCAGTATAAGTCACAAGTCTGAGAATTACAGGAAACTCCAGGCCTACAGCATTAATTATGAGCATCTAATCAGCGAATGCACATTAGGATGTTTTCAATTTATGGTGCATTTATTGTGCACATACAGCTATTCCAGAACACGACAAGCAGAAGCCACTCAACACTTTTCAGGAAGCACTGGACAACTTGTGGTAACTCCACAATGTTCCCCAAAAGAGAATAACTGTGCCTGGCAAGGGGATGTTCTTGACATGACACAGAGCATGTACCAACAGCAACAGGTTAACTACGTATCTTGGAAACTTGGATATATGGCCTCATATGGAAAAACCTCAGCCACCAGGGCACCACATGTAGATTTTCTAGAAACTGAAACCCCTCATAAAGTATTGGATTTGTAACTTTTCAGTTTATGGTGTCAGAAAGAGTAAGCTTGACATCTACAAAGTAGAAACAGCTTCACCTCCATCACAGTTTGCAGATTTTGTTTAGGACTGCATGACCGACAACTTGAAAAGTAAGTTTGCGTGACCCAGCTAAGAATCCTATCATGCCATTCTACAGTTCCTTTTCAGAAAGGAATGACATTTTAAAAGATGAAATTAGTGAAGCACTTCAGTGTTCATTATGGGTCAAACCTGCTTCCACATTCAAAATCAAGTGAGACAGGAAGTCAGGCTAAATAAGTTATCTGTGATCAGAGAGGCTGGAAATACCTTCCCATATTACTCCTGATGTAGAGAAAAGCAGCATTTTTTTAAATTTTTTTTTGCAAGCACATATAAATGAAAAATACATAAAAACGCATTTCTTCCCTGTCCCAAGTCACTGGAATACTTCATTAATGCTTTGGGCCTTCTAACTAATGTGGAGGAGAGACATGGGCAGCATAAGGAATTCCACCCAGAACATACGTCACAGAACATACCTAAAAAGAAAGTTTGCATTTAAAATCTTGGGATAGTCATCCAGAAATAGATTCTTAAGTAGACAAACATTTTGTATTCCGCCCTGACAATGCTCTAGCTCCTGTGGACCCAAAGTGGGCACCTCAGAACTAGAAGTGCCTTGTCTTCTTCACAATTAGCCTGCTTCAGAATACTTTGTGCATGCTGTGTACCCCAGGATTTGGTGGAGGAAAAGAGAAAAAGAACAGGTGCCCCAGAAAAAGATCTTTCTTTTGTCTTGGCTTGTGTTTGGTTTTTTTTTGTTTGTTTTAAAGTAGCACAAATACACACTGTAGCTAGCCTATGCCTACTCTAGGTAACTGAACATGTTCCAGATGACAGCATACCACGTATCTCTGCATAAATAGTTCCCTGCCTGCACAGTTACTAAGCTGAAGCATTCTAGTTTTGCACTGCATTTGGACTAGTTCTGTACAAAAGTTGCCTCATCTGGTTACCTTCTAAACAGGTAATCACTAAACTTACACACAATTAAATTTGGAAGAAGAATCTATCTATCTTACAGTAACAGTGGTTTACCTCTAGTCTGAGACTTGTTATTAGTCCTAAAATGATTAAAACTGGGACAGAACATACCCTTGCCAAAAGCAAACCTAAACATTATCTGCATTGCTCATGAAACACCCTTGTGCTAACAGAAGCACTTCAAAATTACAGCAGTCAGGACTTAAAAACTGCAGCTTTGAAGGGCATTAACCTCACTGATTGTACACTAAGCTCAAGACTGCTACTCCTCTTTGTCCATCATATATCAGGTTCAGTCACTGAAGAACCTTCATGACTAAACATAAT